GCATCTTCAAAGGGAAGGAAAGAGATGAAAGAAAGGCAAATAGGGCCACAGCAGACCCTTATGGAAATGATACCAAAATTATATTTGACACCACTGCTTACAAGCCCTCTCCACCTTTCCATTTTATTCCACCTTCAATCTAAGCAGATATTGTGAAAAGCTGGTGTAAATAAATTCCGTTCCTTGAACATGTAAATCCAACTGGTTGCACACAAAATCATAAGTCAAAGCACTTCCCACATAGAAGTAGGGAAAACCTAGAAGGCAGACTTGCAATACTTACTTGAACCACAAAACCTGAATTATATTTGAAATTGGCAGGTCGAGGGGCTCCATTGATCAAAATATCTCCAGATAATCCATTTGGATCATTCCTTGCAGCTAAGACATCCAGAAATCTATAAAAAAAAAACATGTATGTTGTGTTTTCCCCCTAACACAGGCCATATCTCTCAGTTATTATGAATCCAAAATATTGCTCCAGGTAGAAAGTGAACTAGTCAAAAAGTTGATGGTTTAACTAAAATTGTACAAATAATATGTGTACATATGCATAAATAATATTCAAAAAAATTTCAGTGCATTATAGGAATATATAATAGTGGGGTTCATTTTGACATATTCATATGTTTGTATCATTTCAATCCTCAGTACTTCCTTTCTCCCTCCCTCCCTGCTGCCCTCTGATCTCCTTGCTCTACTCTATTCATCTTCCTCTTATTTATTTATTTAGTAGTGCTGAGTATTGAACCCAGGGCCTTGTGCATTTGAAGCAAGCACTCTACCAACTGAACTATATCCCTAGCCCCTATTTATTTATTTTTAATTTGTGCATCATAGTTATATACAAAACTGGGATGCATTGTGATGTATTCATACTTACTTATAACATCATTTGGTCAACTCCATCCCCCAGGTCTGCACAATTCTTTTCCCTCCTCTCAACCCCTGATCCCCCATCTCTACTGATCTCCCTTCTATTTTTGTGACATCCTTTTTTATTCCCTTTTTCCTCTCTAGCTTCTGCATATGAGAGAATACATTCAACCTTTGATGAGTCTGGCTTAGTTCACTTAGCCTGATGTTCTCCACGACCATCCATTTACTTGCAAATGACATAATTTCATTATTCTGTATGGCTTAATAGAAATCTCTCTCTCTCTCTCTCTCTCTCTCTCTATATATATATATATATATATATATATATATATATATATACACACACACACATACTTAATGTATGTATATATGTGTATATACATATGTATGTATACACATATATACATACATTAAATATACATATATATACATTTATGTATATTTAAATTTTCACCTTCCTTTACATTATATGTTAAAAGAAAGCTCTAAAATGTACAAGCAAGGTAACATCAGTTTATCCATCAAAAACCTTCCAAATGAACTTCCTGGCTGTCTGACCTTGATGGATCCAACCCACACTCCTTTCTCTAAATTCATGTCTTCAATTATTCTTTCTGCTCCATCCCCATTTTTTTATTTTTAATCTTTTATTGATTTTATTATTTTTAAATACACAACAGCAATAGAATGCATTACAATTCTTATTACACATAGAGCACAATTTTTTGTATCTCTGTATATAAAGTATGTTCATTAGAACTGTAATGCAAAAAAAAACAAAGTACATGTATAAAGGCATAAATTAATATCATTCTCCTCTTCTTCCTCCTCATTAGCTCATAATATGGTAACATGTCAATCACACAATCATGCTTAGCAAGGCTGATCTAATAAGACTTCTTGGTCCTTGGATTAAATCCACAGGCTAGCCCAACTGCATGTTATCTCTGGCACCTAGGAACAGATTGCAGATACACAGCAAAGGTTCAATCAACACCTGCTTCCACCAAAGTGATTTTTTAAAAAAGTACACTGAAACTACAAAGACTGACTTGTATTTTCCATTATACTCACAAAGATTTGCCTCCACCTGTGCATTCCATGATAGCATTAAGGCCAGGTTTCATGACCCCACTGCAAAAACATAAGCATAATATCTTATTGTCCCATTTGAAACAAAATTCTATTAATTTTATTAATATGAGTCTGCATTGAATACATTCAAGGAAAGCTGATGAAATTGCTGAAAGAAAACAAACACTAACTTTTAAAGATAAAAAATGAACTGTTGATTAATACAAGTCTAATATAAAAGGGATCACTAGTCAGAATTTATAAGAAAGATGGCTTATGTTCCTCTAAATTCTCTTCATTTATTCTACAAACCACTTACTGATTTTGGAAAACTACTCATCCAAGATTGAAGGTTGCTAGAACCTGGGGGTACTTAGTGGAAAAACCAGCACTTACCAAGCTAGAGGCCCTGGGTTCCATTACCAGCAACAATAACAAAAGTTCCTTGATATAATTAGCAGATTCTCATTAAGCTTCTCCTTTACACTTATTCCTTTTACAACAGTGGAAAGTTCATAATAGTTTCTAAGAAATGTTTGATTATCAACATCTTGAAATCATCTCACTTGGTGCCTAGTTAAGTTCTACACAATTAGTCACTAATTTGTATACAATCAGTTGTAGTGTTCTCTCTGCTAAAATCTCCTCAGAGCAAACATCAACATCCCTTATGTAGAAATGAAAGGCTAGAGTGAAGCACTCCATAGTTAAAGAAAGCATTACCATTTCTAACCTGGAAATAACGCTTTACCAGTCAGAAAAAGAAAGAGAGGGGGAGAGGGAGAGGGAGAGAGGAAAGGAAGGAAGGCAGGAAGGAAGGGAGGGAGGGAGGGAAAGAGGGAAGAAATATGTACACCCTCAAAATAGATCATTTCCTTCCTTCTTAAGTGCCCAGTAAGAGGCCTGAAAAATGGTCAGTTTAGAATGGGGAGCCATCACTCCAGTAGGAAATATCCTTAAAGGATACACAGAATAGACACCAATATTTAAAAAAAATAAGTAGGTTTGTGAGAGTGCTAAATATTCAGATAGAGTAGGAAGGAGGAAAACAAATCACAGCAGGGCCACCACAGGTAGTGAAACAGATAAAATAGAGGCCTCTGTTAGCCCATTCAGAAACCTGATGTCCTTGCCCAGTTCCTCTTAAGAATTTGGAAGCAGGTCAACATGCATTTCACTGAGAAAACAGTTATCTATTCCAAGGGCAAGATCAAAGCTGACAGCTATTCTTTCTCAGACAAGGATTCCACAGAGGTCCATCCTCTGTCCCAGCTGTCATGAGGGATGAACTTCCCAGCACAACTGCCCCACGTGCTCACATCCACAAGGACCTGGGCATTTACTGCCTGTGGCAGCTGCGTCTGGCATCTTCTTCCACCTGCCAAACTCCAAATCTGTTTCCTGGGTCAGAGCCCCCACAGGACACCAATCATTTCACCTCTCAACCTTCTTGCATTGTCTTACACATGCGCTTTTGAGGACCCCACATATTCTAAACCATAAAGAAGAAAACCCCTTTCTTATGACCAAACTCAAATTCACTTCCTGTCACCATAGAGGGGAAGTGTGGGCATTCCTGGGTGGTACAGCCACCCAGGAGGAAAGAGATGAGGCTACAACACTCACTGCTCCAGAAATATTCAGAGTAAGATTGATGGGAGCATTATAGCCTAGCCTCTTTCCTCCCCAGGCTTTATTAGAACCAACTGGGGAGTTCCAGTCAGGAGCAAGAGCCTATCCTGCCCTTAAGCAAGATAGCTCAGGCTGGCAGTGATCTCCAAAGACAGGCCTCACAGATAAGATGCTCTCATAACCAGCCTAAACTGGATTTGGAATCTCCAAAAAGGGTACTGCATCTGCTGGGATATATTTAAATCCCAGATGATTTATCCCATTCCTTTCTACTGCAGCCTCAACTTTCAAAAATGGCTTCATTGGTGAGGAAAAAAAGGTTACTGAAAAAAGTCAGCAGGCCATATTTGTTGTTCCATCAAGGTACACACTGAAGATTTTCTCCACCAATTGTGGCTTTGGACATTGAGTCCTTCTGTGGTACTGGCTACCTCCTGTATGGAAAGTAGTGAGCCATGTGGAACATTAGCTGCTTAAGGCTTACAGGAACATTTGCTTTGGGGGTTACTGGTCAGTCAGATACAATTCAGAAGACATAAAAATTTTCCAACACTCTAATTGGATTGGATGAGTGCATGTTTATCCAGTTTTGTTTTGGAAGAGTATATCAGAGCCTATATAACTGGAAGTGCATGCTGATTTAGTACAACTATTTCACAAGTTTAAACTTCACAACTGGCTTCAATAGGCCGTGTTCTGGTGGCTCCTGCACCAGATTTATCCACTTGTAAAAAGAATTCCATTTCAGAAGAGCACACCCAATCCTGGGTTGTAAGGAACTTTGGGAATCTTATTCAGAAGATTAACTATAAAAGTTTGTTCAACTCATACCTTGAACTAACTCCATTCACGCCTTGATGTTTAGGGCTTTTTTGGGAACACATAAGATAAAAATCTCTGGCTCACTGCTGAAGGAGGGAAAGGAATTCGTGAAGCAGCACATTTTGATCACCTAAAACATTTCCCAAGGATAGTCCATGCTTCCGTCATTAAATAAGTCTCTACTGAAAAGATGGACTATATTTACCCATAATCACTTTATTTGAGTTCATGTTTCCCCTCCCCCAGTAAATTCACTTCCTCTTTGATTCTGTGTGCTTAAATTATATATGTATATATTATATATGTAAATTATGTATATATATTCTAGATAAAGTTGTTTTTGTTTGTTTGGTTTGTTTTTTTGTTTGTTTATTTGGTTGGTGGGTTAATTTTTTGCCTGTCTCTAAAAAGAAGATTCACAATTCAAGTTTTGCTAGCCTTAGTCATTAGATGTAAACTTGGCATCAAATTCAGAAATGCAAATTTAAGACTTAACAGACTTCTTTCAATATCAGGTCAAAAATATAGCTTTTAAAACTAGAAAATATTAAATCTAAGTTTTAAATTTCCTTGAATGTTCCTGTATGTTTATATGCTTATACACAGACTGTTTGCATGATACTAAATTGACTTATTATCAGACCAAATGCCTTTCACATGAATTTAGTAAATCTGTAATAAGTCATTTGAACTTGTTCCTAAGAATGTCTTTAAAATCTAGTAACTTGAGTTTATGGCCTGTTAACCAATTCGGATATTTGTCTAAATATCAGAGGAATAGTGTTCATTATTTTCTATATAAAAGAATATCTTAGGACTTTTTTTTAGGAAAAAATTAAAACATTAACTATGCTTGCAATAAATGAATAATCTAAACATAGCTGTTAAAATGAGTATATTAAATAAGAGAAGTGTTTTGAATTCTTAAAAATGTATCTTTTAAAATAATTTTGTTTTTGTAAGAAAACTTAAATCTAGAGCTAAAAATCTTAGGCTTTCCAAACCTCAGAAATGTTCTGCTTTCTTTTAATAATTGTGTACTGCTTATATCTATATATGACATTCATGGTTTGTCTAAAATATTAATTGTTTAGTAGATTTGGAAATTGATGAGTGAGCCTATACCTTTACTTGTTCAAAGCCTAAGATAAATGAAAGGAAATAACTAATGGTATAAAAGGCTAGTAACCTATGCAGAGTTTATATTTCTGGCTTCTAGAATGACATCATTTTACTATGAGCTCAAAATTATGGAGTTTTTGTTGTGGTAGTTCATTGATCATAAATCCTAGCAGTATTTTCAAAAAATTAAATATTGGTACGTCTATATCTTTATTCAGCAACCTAAAGGATACATACACATTTCCAGAGCCTAGCTGTACATTCAAAAACTATATTTTCTGAATAAACTGCCTTGGTTGTATTTTAATTATCAGCAAGGAACTTCACTATCTTCTTCAAATGTTAAATGGATTTTGTGCTATGCTTGATGTCAAGTCTAATAATATTTAAATTCTAGAAGAACTTAAAGCAAATTTTAAAATGCATTTTTAAGTGGAATCTAGCAGTCTGGTAACAACTCAACCACTCTTAGCAAAGTTTACAAAAGAACCAACTTAAAGAACAAAGATTTTATATTTTATCAAAATGATGTCTTGTCTTTTCTGCAGATTTTATTATATTTTTAATTGCATAAAAGAAAATTAGGTCCTACAATAAGTTGATATTTATTCAAATTTTTATTTCTTCTAAAGTCTCATTTGGTTTATAACTCTAGTTAAATATGTTTTATTTTTAAATGCTCAAAAAATTTAAAAATCTATACGAATTTGGCAGTGGAAATGTACAAGACAGAGAATTTCCTCTGGTGAGCAAAATCCCGAGGAATAACAGGCATTTTGTTTTCCACACTTAGAATATTCTGCAGTTTCTCCCAAGAACTAGTAAGAAAACGAATACATATGCAATGCATAACTACTGTGGCAATGCCCTGCATGAGGAGGCTCTGTGCTAGAGTCTTATCAGCCTTGACCTTGATCTCAGGCATTCAGCTTCTGGGAAGAAAGGAATTCTCTTGTAGATAACCACAATGTTTCACCAAGCTCTGCTGCACCTGAACCTGTCCACATAACAATAACTTGAAACAATGAACTTTCTTAAGAGCTACACAGATGTCCTAACATTGCACATTGCAGCTATAGTATATAACTGAAGAGTAAGCTGCATAATGTTGCTAAGTTTGTAACCTACCTAATGACACAATGAACAATAATGTACTATCAGTGACCTAATGTAATATATTGATATAACTAAAGCTGGCAGCTTGGAAAAAGGAGACTTTCTGCCATCCTGCTTCCACATCTTGCTTCTGTCTCCTTTTTTTTTCTTTATAAAAATCTGACTGTTTGAGTATACTGGTATTAATTATGATAATTGTCTTAATTGGGGAGGAAATTAAGTTGTTTTGCTATGTCACAAAGTTCTCTAAATAGTAATGGTAATAAGTAGCTTCTACAGGAATTTTCCTTTCTCTCCTCAATTTATTTTCTACTTCAAAAACTAGTTTATACAACAATTGCTCAAACACATTATATAAATATTTTTACAGTTTGCCAGTTGCTTTCAAAGTTAAACACATATTTAAGTGACCCAATCATTTCATTCCAAATTTAGCCAAAATAAATAAAGTGGGTTAATACATCTTTACAAAGAGATAACCATAAATGTTCACAGCAGATTATTGGTGATAAGTATAATCTGTGAAGTTCATTCAATAAAGTAGTATTTTGAAAAGTTTATGCACATACCTGATATTTGTAAATATTTCTCTCTCAAATGTTTTCCAGCAAAATATAAAGCCATACTTCTCTTTTACTCGATAGCAGATGTTATGAATACTTAACACAGTCTCCTGAGTAAATGAATTCAGGTCAATGGATGCCATCTTAGGGAAGTATTAGGTATTTTTGTGACTCTGGGATAAAATCCTAGTAATGACTGGAAGAAATCTGGAGTTTCTGCTTTTCTGTAGAGGAAAAAGCAATCGTAAGTTGACAGTCCAGATAAATGAGATTGCAAACATTATAAAATACTATATACTACTACTTTTTTGCTCTTTTGTTTTTGTTTGTTTGTTTGTTTGTTTTTGTTATTGGGGATTGAACCCAGAGGTGCTTTACCACTTAACTACATGTCCAACATGTTTAAATTTTAAATTTCTTTCTTTTTTTTTTATTTTGAGGAAAATCTTGCTAAGTTGTTAAGATTGACCTTAAACATGCAATGCCTCTGTCCCTCAGGGAGTTGTAATTTATAGGTGGGTGTCACTGAACCCAGTTAGATAACAGAAGTCTGTTGTTAACTACACTGCAGTGAGTAGATTTCTTTCCAATGAACAGACCACAGCAACATAAAAACAACCTTAGAGTCCATAATGGGAAGAAAGACAACTGTGAATACTTGAACTCCAATAAGATGTGGAAGAAATTCCTAAAAAAAAAAAATAGTAAAAAGTATGAAAATTACAACTCATAAAACAGGAAAAAAGACAGATAGTCTTGTCTGGCTTGAAAAACCATATAACAATACAACTTCAGTTCTGGAACACCCTACCTAATCGCACTCATACCCCCTTTTTAATTGATAGATTGGTTCTATTTCAAAATTTATAAGATTATTTGTTTCTTTACTTTCTTATTGTATTTTAGAGTTTGTAACATTATTATTACTAAAAGAGGCTTAACTAAACAGTCAGGAGAAATTTCTAGTTCCAGACTTTGCAGCTCTAATTGCTATTGCCTTTAATCATCTAAGAAGGTATTGTAGTTTGGATACAATATATCCACAAAGTCCATGTGCTATAGGCTTAATTGCCAGCCTATGGTGCCATGGGAGATAAAAACTTGGAGATTGGACCTGATTTGGAGGAAGTGGATCACTGGGGGTACATTCTGGAGGGACATATCTTGCCACTATCCTTTCTTTGCCTCCTGGTTTCCATGAACTAAAACTTTCATTCTTCTCCTCACAGTATGATGTTTATGCCTTTTAATATCCCTGGAAGCAATGGAGTGAGCTGACCAGGGCCTAAAATCTCTGAAACCATTATTCATAATAAACCTTTCCTTCTTTGAATTGGTTTTCTCAAGTATTTTGTAACAGCCATGGAAAGGTGACTAAAACAAAAGGCAAATTCCAATTAGTTTGCAATAAATTAATCACTTCCTTAATGGACAAACATATTTAAATTTTAGGAAGGTTTAAAATCAAGTCTGAAAATTATTAAGTAAATCAAACCATTAAAGCTCAAGGCTTTAAAGCAAAACCTTCACATCAAGTTTATAAATGTTTAAAATGTTTCACTAAACAATTTATATAAGACCTCTGAAACAGATTTAATTAGATTGAGACTTTAAGGTGAGCTAAGCTTATAAAAGAGGTTTGAAATTTTAACTGCAATAAACCTAGTTTTCATTTTTAAAAACCAAAGTCATCCATGAAGAACTTTCTCTCCGCTTTTGGTGGACTAGCTGCACCTAACTAATCATTCTCCTGAGAACAACCAGAAAAGTAGATCAAACAATAGAGGACATGTACAGTGTTCTCTGATGACAGCAGCCAAAGCATCCAGAACTTGAGGAACCAAAATCCTGGAAATGAGGAAAAAGCACTGGAGCAAATCCAGCTCCCACCCTTTCCTCACCAGGCATTTGAACACACAAACTGCACATGTGTGGGGAAATATAGGACTATCTGGTAAAAGGAAACTGCTAGAGGTATCTTGCTAAAACCACTATTATTTCAAATATTTTAGCAGACTCTCAGGTAGGGAGACAAAATTAAAAGTCATCAGCCAGCAAAGATAATAGCCCTGAAAACTGCTAGGTTTTGAGATCCCAGATGTCCTGGGAAATATAGGGAAACCAAAACAGACCAGCCTCTGTTCTAAGAAGGTGATCTGCTTTCATAGTGTCCCAGAGAGTTTGATATGTTGTGTCTATGTTCTCCATTACCTCTACTTTTGACACAATACAACACTCCCTCATGTTCAAAACACTAGAAAAACTAAGGATAACAGAAATATACCCCAACATTGAAAAGGCTATCTATGCTAAGCTTCAGGCCAACATCATTCTAAATGGAGAAAAAAATGAAAGCATTCCCTCTAAAAACTGCAACAACACAGGAATGCCCTCTTTCACCACTTCTATTCAATATACTTCTTGAAACACTGGCCAGAGCAATTAGACAGACCAAAAAAATTAAAAAGGGATATGTATAGGAAAAGAACTTAAATTAGCACTATTTGCTGATATGATTCTATTCCTAGAAGACCCAAAAAGCTCCACCAGAAAACTTCTAGAACTAGTAAAAGAATTCAGCAAAATATCAGGATATAAAATCAATACCCATAAATTGAAGGCATTTCTGTATATCAGTGACAAATGCTCTGAGAAGGAAATGAGGAAAACTACTCCATTTACAATAATCTAAAAAAAAAAAGATATTGGGAATCAACAAAAGAAGTGAAAGATATATAAAATGAAAACTATAGAACCCTAAAGAAAGAAATAGGGTCTGGAGATATATCTCAAATGGTAGAGAGCTTGCCTTGCATGCACAAGGCCCTGGGTTCAATCCCCAGCACACACACACACAAAAAAAAAGAAGAAGAAAAATAAAAATAGAAGAAGACCTTAGAAGATAGAAAGATCTACCTTGCTCTTGGATAGGCAGAATTATTATTATCTAAATGACCGTACTATCAAAAAGACTATACAAATTTAATGCAATTCTGATGAAAATCCCAATGGCATTCCTCAGGGAAATAGAAAAATCAATCATGAAATTCATCTGGAAAAATAAAGAGACCCAGAATAGCTAAAGCAATCCTTAGCAGGAACAATAAAGCAGGTGGCATCACTATACTAGACCTTAAACTGTACTACAGAGGAATCATGAAAAAAACAACATGGTATTGGCACCAAAACAGACTGGTAGACCAATGGTACAGAATAGAGGACACAGAGACTAACCCACAAAATTACAATTATCTTATATTAGACTAAGGTGCCAAAACATGCACTGGAGAAAAGGTAGCCTCTCCAACAAATGGTGCTGGGAAAACTGGAAATCCATATGCAACAAAATGAAATTAAAACTCTGTCTCTCACCATGCATAAAACTCAACTCAAAGTGGATCAAGGACCTAGGAATTAAGCCAGAGACTCTTCATCTAATATAAGAAAAAGTAGGCCCTAATATTCATCATGTGGGATTAGACCCCAACTTCCTTAATAAGATTCCTATAGTGCAAGAATTAAAATTAAGAATCAATAAATGGGATGCAATCAAACTAAAATGTTTCTTCTCAGCAAAAAAAAAAAAAAAAAAATACAATCTGTGAGGTGAACAGAGAGCCTACATCCTGGGAGCAAATTTTTACCCCTCACACATCCAATAGAACACTAATTTCTAGGGTATATAAAGAACTCAAAAAGCTAAGTACCAAAAAAACAAATAACCCAATCAACATATGGGCCAAGGACCTGAACAGACACTTCTCAGAAGAGGATATACAATCAATCAACAAATACATGAAAAAATGTTCATCATCTCTTGCAATTAGAGAAATGCAAATCAAAACTAGTCTAAGATATCATCTCACTCCAGTCAGAATGGCAGCTATTATGAAGACAAACAACAATAATTGTTGGTGAAGATGTGGAAAAGGTACACTCATACATTGCTGGTGGGGACTGCAAATTGGTACATCCAATATGGAAAGCAGTAAGCAAATTCCTTGGAAATCTGGGAATGGAGCCACCATTTGACCCAGATATCCCTCTCCTTGATGTATACGCAAGAGGCTTAAAAACAGCATACTATAGGGACAGAGACACATCAATTTTACAGCAGCACAATTCACAATAGCTAAACAGTAGAGCCAACCTAGATGCCCTTCAATAAATGAATGTATTAAAAAAATGTGGCATACATACACACAATGGAATTTTACTCAGCAATAAAAGAGAATAAAATCATGGCATTTTGCAGGTAAATGGATGGTGTTGGAGAAGATAATGCTAAGTGAAGTTAGCCAATCCCAAAAAAACAAATGCCGATTTTTTTCTCTATATAAGGAGGCTGACTCATAGTGGGGTAGGGAGGGGGAGCATGGGAGAAATAGATATATTCTAGATGGGGCTGAGGGGTGGGAGAGACAGGGAGGGGACAAAGGATTAGCAAGGATGGTGGAATGTGATGGACATCATTATCCAAAATACATGTATGAGGACTCTAATTGGTGTCAACATACTTTATATACAACCAGAGATATGAAAAGTTGTGCTATATATGTGTAATAAGAATTGTATTGCATTCTGGTGTCACTTATTTAAAAGAATCAATAAAAAAAGAAGGTGATATATCTAGACTTTGCAAGAAGAATGTTAATTACACTCTCAAAGGTGATATCATCAACAAAATTATCAATAAAAATTTACCAGTCATGCCAGAAAATAAAACCTAAAATTCCAAAAAATGAGAACATAGAAGTAGAGCCATGGGTAATCCAGACTGGAGTTATCAAACATTGACTCTAAAACAGCTGATAAATATATTTAATAATATAAATTTTAAAATTGATGATTGCTAAATAATAACAATCTTTAACAATGAAATTTAAGAATTAGAGCTGGATATGGTGGTGTACATCTACAGTCCCAGATACACAAAATGCTGAAGCATAATGGTAATGATTTTGAGGCCAGCCTGGGAAAAATAGCAAGACCCTATTTCTTATAAAACAAATAAGGAGGCTGGGGATGTAGCCCTGTAGTAAAATGCATGATCAAAACCATGGTTTTGATCTCCAGTATGAGGTGGGGAATGGATTTAACAGCTAAACACATTAGATTAGAAAAGACAATTCAAGAACCAGAAGACTAGTATAAAGAAAACATCCAGGAGGAAAATTAGAAATGATGAAAACTGTCACTATTTTAAAAATGGCTGGGAATGAGAGGAGCTCCTTATTGAAAAGAAATAGTACCACATAAAAGAGCAAAAGAAAAATAGAGCATGAAGCCAGACACGGTGATCCACACCTGTAACCCCAGTGGCTCAGGAGGGTGAAACAGAAAGATTGCAAGTTCAAGGCCAACCTTAGCAATTTAGTGAGGACCTAAACAACTGAGCAAGACCTTGTTTCAAAACAAACAAACAAAAAATAAAGGCCTGGGGATATGGCTCAGTGGTTAAGTGGTCCTGCCCTGGTACCAAAACAATATACAAACAAACAAACAAATATTGGAACTTGCTAAAAAAAAAAACTTTTGGCATAGATGGAAGTGGAAATCTGGGAGAGCATGAAAAATGGATTAGAACCAATATTTAAAAATATATACCAGTGAAATATTTTTCCAAAACTGACAAAGGAATTAAGTCACAGATTGAACAATCTGCAGAGCCATGGAGCATGAAAAACAAAAGAAAACCACATGCAGGCACATGAGGTCAAAACTGACAAAAACAAAAGTGTCGATGAATAATTGTTTTTACAACCCAAACTTCATACTTACCACACCCTATTCATCTTGGAAACTGGAAAAGAAATAAACCATTTAAAGATTAATGTCTAAGATATTAAAGGTGAATAACTGAGTTTTATATTAGAACACAACAAATGGTAATGATTAGCCAAAATTCTATTCTTCTGAAACAGTGAAAGAGAAGGAAACACTAACGTATGAACTTTACACCTTAACTTTAAAAACACTGCAAGCCATCTCCCCAGGTCTTCAGAAACCAAAATGTGCGAATTTCAACATCAGCAGTCACTTCTACTGTCACCACTCTGTAATGTTCAACCACTGAGGACATTTCTCACCTTGTCCCAAGACGTATTAGGAGAATCATGTAACAACACAATACTTGACTTTAAATAGGTCTTAAGTGAAAACTCTTGTTTCCATCTCATTTAAGATGGAAATGAGACTTTCCTTAGGTTTTCCAGTAATAAAAGGCAACAAGTAGACTAAAGTTCCCAAAAAGTTCACCCATCCCTACAGGGCAGTGGGCTAAAACATATGAGTGTAGTAACAATGTCAGAAGCATGTGTAAAGAGTTTCCTGCCCTGGGACCGGATTAAGTTTGTGACTCATGTTGCTGAGCAGGTACTTATTTCCTTGCTCAGGTTCTACCTATCTTCCTTAGAGAGATTCAGTTTGAAACTGGGAAGACAGTTAATCTGCCCCTCCCATCCTCCCTGGTTTTTGTATCAATTTCTTGCCCCCTTAATAGGCTTATTATCCTTTGACTAGCCATCAGCAAGCTTTCTTTGTGAGGGTGTTGGTTGCCAGAGTGATGGGGGTTGTGATAGTTTTGGTGATAGGATACAGGTCACCAGGCAGGGTATAACCTGATCTTGAATAAAACAGTGTTTCTTAAGGGGAAATTTATGGCTGGGGGAGGTTTAAACATTGCAAGTCTCTCTTCCAGGTGCTTGCCTATCATCACCCTACATTGTGCTTTCCCTGCTCACCCATTCATGGCTAACTGGACACCTAACAACCAGATCCCCTCTTCACCCACCCCCAGAGTCAGGATTCTGGCATAGGACTTCATTACCATAAACTCAGTCATCTCTTCTGAGAAGTATGCTGTTTTCTAACAAAATTTGCACATACAACACCCACCCACATTTCCTGCCACACAAATGACCTCATTCAGCTTAATCGAGGTTCTGGTGAAAAAGGGCGCCAGTCTCAAGATGCACCTGTTCAGAAGTAGAGTGTTAATAGTCCTCAATATAAAGGTCAAGAGGAGTCAGCTAAACCTTCCAAATAGCCCTGAAGCAGCCCACTCATAATGACCTCAAAGATCTGTGCTGTGGAATGCATGGAGAGCTTTCCCTAAGTACCCCAGGATCCTTGACAGACTGCCACTTTCCCATGTCTCCCTCAAACAGTTAAGGACCCCATAAAAACAGAAACTCTAATAAGAGTAAGAGAATAGAATCTCTGAGGGGGGAAATGAGACAACCAGTACCTCTCACCCCTCACCCCCCACCCCCACCCCCACCCCACAAATGTAAATGCACTCTCAGGACCTCATCTCATAGCCTGTCAGTCATTAAGAGTATGGTATGTGCTCTTTCCTACCCCTTACTCTCAATCTGTGGATGTCAAAAACTAGATTATGGCGCGGGGCACAGACCAGGTAAAGCAATTGCCTAGCAGCAACAGCCCTGGGTTCCATGTCCAGCACCAAAGAAACAAAAAGAAAGACTCAGATGCATTAAAGCCAGGATGGCTTCACCATCGTACTCCAATAATAAACTAAAAGAATAAATCTGCCGGGGAATCAACACAAAGTGTTAAAGGCAAACTCCCACCTCCTTGAACTTGTTGCTCAGTATGACTTGTGCTCTCTTCCACCCAATAAAAGAGCACCCTTTGACTGCCCCAAACCGTTGAAAGTTCCTAGACTCTACAGAGCCCACACGTGCACCCACCACACGTGATTTAAAAAGCCTGACCCCTTTCTTTTTCCAAGACCAGTCTGACACTCTTGGTCAGAGGTCTTTCTACCTTTCTGCTCCAGCAGAAGCTCCAACACAGCCTCCCTGCATATTCGCTTTCAGTTCTCCTGGCAAGCCACAAGTTTCAGTCTCCTGCATCTTGCCTCCCTCCGTGGAGAACTGAGCGTCTCCCTCTTCCTTCCTGTGCTGGCTCTGAGGACTCCATTGGTGAGGATCCAGGACACTTCCCACAGCCAAGGCAGAGCCCTTCGGGGAAGAACCCAACCCCCAACCGCCCAACCGGAAAACCAACACCGGCCCCCCCCGAACAAACCCAAGGCTGCCCAGCTCAAGGCTGCTAGTGTCGTGGACCTCGTAGACCAGGCGTAGCCACGTGGAGCTCAGGCTTTGGGGCCAGAAGAAGCATTGGTTCTCTGGCTGGTCTCCTCCCTAACTATTGCTTAAACCCAGGCAAGGGCAGAAGGAAAAAGGGAGAGTGCATTCTGGCTGATCACAATAAACACCAGGGCGCGAGAACCTGGGTCACAGAGAAGACTGACGCAAAGCATACAGGGACAAACCAATAACTCCGTTTTTACAGGTAAAGAAAACAAAAGGTTAGTGCAGAAAGGGACAGCACAGATGTGTGGTGTCCCTGTGTGCTTGTGTGGCAGGAAGCAATGGGATGTCCCAGATGCTGGGACAGGACCACTTTGCTTCATATAATTTGCTTTATACCACAGACTGGAATCCAATAAAGAAATAATTCATTTGCTTATAAAGTTTACAAATAAAGCAGCTCTGGTGGCACATCTGTATTGCCAGCTACTCAGGAAGCTGAAACTGGAGGATGACAAAGTCCAGTCCAGTTTAAGCAATTTAGGCTACTTCAAAATAGAAAACGAAAAAGGGCTGGAAATGTACCTCCGAGGTAGGACACCCCTGCGTTCAGTCTCCAGTACCACCAAAATAAATAAATAAAATCACAGTTAAACCCTATTATAAATACAGTGAGAAAAAAATATCGATTAGGCATTAATAATAATTAACCTGAAGAGTCAGAATAGTAGAAGATGTAACACTGGTCCTTGCATCATAGCTTGAATGTTTACATTCTGAGAGCTCACTATGCTCAATTTCAAAAGTTACAAAGGTCTTTGGTTTAAGTAAACTTTTCTTTTTTATTATTGATTTAATTTTTTTAAATACACGACAGCGGAATGCATTACAATCTTATTACACATATATACCACAATTTTTCATATCTTTGTATATAAAATATGATCATGCCAATTCATGCCTTTATACATGTACTTTTTTTGTATCACAATTCTTATTACACATACATACCACAATTTTTCATATCACTATTTGTATATAAAGTATGTTGACACCCAATTCAAGTCTTCATACATGTACTTTGGATAATGATGTTCATCACAACTTTTCATTGAAGTAAATATGCATACAAACAAAATGTAGAAAATCTAAAGCACATGATGTATACTTACAATGTGAACATTCCTGTACATCTGCCACCCAGAATTCGTGTGTGTGTGTGTGTGTGTGTGTGTGCGTGTGTGTATTTGTGTATGTGCACACACATAGAAATAATTTTTTGTGGTACTTGGGCTTGGACCCAGGGTTGCTCTAACACTGAAATATATCCCCAGCCCTTTTTATTTATTTTGAGACAAGTTCTCACTAAATTGCTGAGACTGGTCTCATACTTACTATCTTCCTGCCTCAGTCTTCAGAGTAGCTGAGATTATAGGCATGGGCCACCAAGTCTGGCCAAGGACAGTTCATACACCTCCTTTTGAGGGATCAAACCCTTAAAGATGGTAAGCAATCATTTTACTACTAGCTACATCCCCAGATCGGCCACCCCGATTTTTAAAAAGAGCATTAAGAATATTCCAGAAATTTCCCTCGTACTACATTGTACTCATTATTCCCTTCCAAAAAGTCATTAGTATTCTAACTTTTATACATTAGTTTTTAATTACATTTATGTAATTATGTAATTATGACTATTGTTACTATTGACATTGCTTGGTATGGCATTTGTGTGCCATTACTGCACACTGCAGTAATGGCACACAAAGATTCTCACTTATTGTTGACAACTTGCCCATTTCTGCTCTCTCTTGCTCACTAGTATGTCATTCAGTAATACACAGACCTTTTCCTGCAAATTGATGACAATTGAACCAGTTTAAGACTAATGATTATTTATGGCATTTTTGCATTTATATATGAAGTGTTTATAATACCTTCAAATATACGTCCTTATTTTATCTCCTCCTTATCCCATGAGAATATGGTGCAATACCAAACTAGAAAAGAAATTAGTTTTTTTATGCCATGTTTCAATTTCACTTTGTCATATATGATCTGGAACCTTGGACCAAGACCTTTTAGTTCTACTACTATCTTTAAATCTGGAATGTTACATTTTCATGGCAGTTTAGGTTTACTCTTTGGCCAACAGGTAATTAAGAGGAAAAAAATGTTTTTAAATTTTCTAAATAACTTGATTTTATATATAATGCTTATTCTTTTGTTGATATTCAGAAAGTATGACTTTTAAAAAGTTGCCTGAACAACAGAAAAAATATATTTTTAAAAAAGAAAAAAAGGAACAAAAATATAGAGTAAGGCAAGCGGGATCCGGAGTTCACTTTGGGTATTATGTCAGCAACATCCAAACAACATACAAATGGATTACCTGCACATATATTTCTACAAAGAATGATGTAATCTTATAATATCTGGGTTTTGTCATCACTTTTGAGATTAAACTCCACTCTGCTTTAATGACCATTGTATGATCCCGGTCCTTGTATTTAACAAATGTGCTAGAAAATTATCACATTAAATCATGTAGTAATTATTATTAGAAATGAATGACAATCTGTTGAAGTGATTATTGAGTTTTACTAATGATTCTGGTGAGGATCAGAAGAGGATAATGACAGGCAAGAAAATGACATTTAAGAAAATGTTTATGTGCAGAATGTCTTAAGAATGTCTTTCACTTCCTCCCCAGACTTTTTTAGGGTGACCATCAACAAGGCAGTTATTTCATTTCTCTATACTGACATCTAAGTTTATGGAAGTGGAAGTGGTTGACATGTGCAGGGCCAGAATCAGCCAGAGAGAAATGATGACTCACCACTTCCTTCCCTTGGGAGTTCACCCTGAGGTCATCAGCAGACCCTTCTATCAGTTTTGCTCTCTTGAAATCCTTACTTCTCACAGCTACTCTCCAGCATATCAAATAGGAAGGAAAGAACAGGAAATTTGACAAGGAATCCTTATTGCCACGATCCCTGCCTTGACTTGGTCATTGCTGAAACTCACATGGGTCCTAGAAGCTCAGGTTCTAGGTGTGGCCTCTCCTTGTGTACCAGAAGAGAAATGATGCATGATAGCTGCTCAGAGGCTGTTAAAACTCTAATTATGAAACTAGAGATTCTATTTCTAGTTCAATCGAAAGATGGCACAGTATAAGTGAATCATTTAAATTTATTAATGTGATATCTGCATATTGTTTTATATTTCTTGTGTTTGCTAGAAAAATAATTCATATCTAATAGAGGTCTTCAAATTGTTTGTTGACTGAAATTCCATATGTAAAAGCTATACAGCATTTTGAGTAATATAAATACTAGAAGAGTCGAGGAAATGCTGAGGAGGAAGGAATTTGGGGGGATGGAGGCCTTGGGAAGTCTGGATCCTTTAACAGAGCAAGATTCTACAGTGAAGGAAGGCATTGTCCCTGATTACAATGATTAGCCACTGTTAGAAGTTAGCTGTGAAAGCAGTTTTCCTATATGTACACTGTAAGGATGTAAAAGATACCTTCCCTGGCTACATCCATGTGTAGTTGTTGGTTTCATTGCTCTTATTGCAATTCACGTGATTGACTGAATTCCCAGCAATAGGCAGTGGTTCCCTCCTGACACATTCCAGTCTGTAAAGCTGATTCATGACATCATCACTTAGATAATCCTGGCAGCCTGT